AAATATATGCCAACTGGTTTCGTTTTAGGTTGTGCTCTTTTGTAAAATAAGACATGAAGTTATGAATTTAAACATCATTTCTTTTCTATCTTTTCCTTTGATGTGCTCAATTATGCACATCTTTGGGTTTGTTCTACTCTTGTCCGTCTCTGTTCCTGTTGCAATACTTTCCTTCTTCAAGAATTGTAGATCCACAGGACAAGAAATATTAAAAACTTAATTCTATGCATTAAATTTGATTTCTGTTTTCACGTAATAACTAAATGAGCATGTGTTTCTTTTGAAAAATCATTTTTCTTGTATTTGACTTGTTATTAGGAGTTTCTCATATTATATCTCTTGTCATTCACCTATTTGGAATGCTTTTGGCTCCAGGGAAGTCTGGTATTCATGGTTTTGGTGTCTTTGCTAAACAGCCACATAGAGCAGGAGACATGGTATATTAATATGAGTGCCATATATCTTAAACTTCATTTTTGAGATGTAAATAGTTAAACATTCTAGTTTTATTGTACTTTAGGTGATTGAGTATACTGGTGAAATTATTAGACCTCCAGTAGCTGACCGAAGAGAACGCTTGATATACAATTCGTTAGTGGTAAGTGCTATTGCATGTTTTCATGGCCGTCATTGTGCTTCAACTTTCATCATCACATATGGAATCTTGGTATGAGCTAGAAGGACATGCCTCATGAGTCTAATAGCAAGCAAGCTCTCCTGGTGATTCATAAAATGCATCTTGGGCTGATAGTCACTGTTTTTGGTAAATACTTTAACAAGTCTCGCTGAGCATTAGTTCAGGAACCATACTACGGGAATTTCAACACCTTTATCATCTTTACTTTCTGATTTTCTGCTGCATCGTTACCCTTTTCTAATTCCAAAAGTAAATTTGGTAGCTACCTATTTCGTTAATAGAACTCGTCTCACTTTGTAAATATTTTCTCTTAACTATTTGAGATTGGATAATCCAAAATCCATTTTGGAAGAATTAGCTTATGACACTAAATTAAAAATGAAGGGGTTTGAGTTAATTTATGCTGCACATGAGAATAGGAAAAACAATCTGATGAAATGCCTTAAAACACTTACGATTTTAATTTTGGGTCAACTCTCTAATTAGCCCTTGTTTGGCCCTTATTATTTTTTATTATAATGGGGGAGAATAGTGTTTTTTTGAAAAATGGATGGTTATAAAAGAATGAAAAAATTTCGATTTGCGTGTAATATTATTTTATTGAAATTGTGTGGTTGAAAATAAGAGAGAAAATTTTAATTTAATTTGATGAGATTTAATGTGGGCCAAACGGGGGCTTAAAATGAATCTTTGTCTAGGTACATGCTTTGCAAATTGTATTATCTTAGTAAAAGCAGGCTATTCACGAGCCTCAAGTGTTACATTACCTTCAGTATTCATAAAAAAGAAGATAAAACGGCTTCTTGATCTATGCATGTACTCTCTTTGCGAGATAAATACCTCTCTTGCCACCAATTCTTTCATGCGCTAGGATATGTGCATAAGTACTTCCACACAATTTTATTATACGTATATTAATGATTCTATTGACTTGCTGGCCTAAATGTCATTATTTAATAGTATATTTTATCCTTTTGGATATTTGCTTATTGCACTATGGGAGGATATTTGAACAGGATGATAATCTCCTTGAGATTTAAATGCATGCATGTGCGGTGGTATTATGATATTATATGTGTATGGTAATGTTAGGACCGAAAGAAATTTGTAACCAAAACTTTTGAACATTTATGCAGGGTGCTGGAACTTACATGTTCCGAATAGATGACAAACGTGTTATCGACGCTACAAGGGCAGGAAGCATAGCACATTTGATCAATCACTCATGTGAAGTATGTAGCATCAACAGCATTTATACGACTATTGCTTGCTTCTTGAGAAACATCCTT